ATATTGTAGCGGGTCAGGGCTGTTCGGGGTTCTGTTTGTACAGTTATGTTTTGTTTATGTTGCCATAGTGACAGGTGACGCCCTCTCGCTGCGACAGTGTGTCCTTCCGGGGTCAGAGGGCGCCCTGTGTGTTGTTGTTGCTGCGCTGAGCAGTTAGCTAGCGGCAGTGTTCTTCTGCAGATGTCAATAAACGGCGGTGCTCCCTGGCTAGCTCACGGGAAGCAAGACCAAACGATACTTCCGTCTCCTCCTTGTCTGAGCTCGCCACATTGGTGTCAGAAGTGGAATGATGGTGGCACCCCATGTTCTGACCCGAGTGACTTTTCCCCCGCCGGTCGTGACCGGCCGGTGCGCCAAAAGAAGGCACCTGGACATTTGCAGGACTTTGTGTGGAGTAATGGGGTCGTCGGGGACGACTGACCGATTAGGTGGGGGCTATGTAGCGGATCAGTTCTGTTCGGGATTCTGTTTGTACAGTTATGTTTTGTTTATGTTGCCATAGTGACGGGTGACGCCCTCTCGCTGCGACGGTGTGTCCTTCCGGGGTCAGAGGGCGCCCTGTGTGGCGGTGTTGTTGTTGCTGTGCTGTTGCCGCGCTGAGCAGTTAGCTAGCGGCAGTGTTCTTCTGCAGATGTCAATAAACGGCTGTGCTCCCTTGGCTAGCTCACGGGAAGCAAGACCAAACGATACCTCCGTCTCCTCCTTGTCTGAGCTCGCCACAATATTTTAGTTCTGCTGAGCCAAATAAGACAGGTCAGGGTGAAGAAGTGACAGCCAAAGAAAAGCTTACCACAAAACGGAAAAGTTATGACAAATCAGACTATTAAGGCAAAAAGAAAGTGCAGCTTTATGGTTTCATGGACAAAAGAATTTCTGTGGCTGCAATATGACAAGCGAAATAACCAAGGCTGCACATAAGTGGTCCGCAGGTGCGCATTCGCTGTCAAAATAAAAAACGGGCACAAGATAAGAAGTTGCAACGCGTGTTTGCATACATAAGATTTTCAGGAGGAGGACAGACATTTGTTTAGAACTCTTAAAGATGTCGAAGAAGCTCCTTTAAGCAATTACTGTGATGTTCCTCCACCTCCAAAGAAATGTCAGAAGGAGCCCGAACCACAAAAGAAGCACGTATTCTCGGAAAAGTAGTTGCAGGAGGTGAGCTGGCTTCAAACAAATGATGAACGCACAGAGATGTGGTGCAGAATGTGCCGTGAAAATTTAATAAATGACAAATTAAAAAGGCATGAACTTTTTTTTTTTTAATCGAAAAAATATCGAACCGTGACACCAAAGTATCGAACCGAACCGTGAATTTTGTGTATTGTTGCACCCCTAGTGAGAACTTAAACATTTAAATATTCTTTTTGCCTTCCAGGAGCACTCATGACCTGGTGGCAATGGATGGCTGGTTATACGCAGTGGGAGGCAATGATGGCAGCTCCAGTCTCAACTCCATTGAAAAGTACAACCCACGCAGCAATAAATGGGTCGCAGCCTCCTGCATGTTCACACGGCGCAGCAGCGTGGGTGTGGCTGTGCTGGAGCTCCTGAACTTCCCGCCACCTTCCTCGCCCACCCTCTCGGTTTCTTCCACCAGCCTTTGACACGGGGTCATTGTTTGGCTGACCTCAGCCTCTGCTGCTACAGCCCAGACTGGCTCTGGGAAGAGACGCAACTGCTCTGTTTGAAACAAAGAAGATGAGGAGGAAGAGCGCTGGTGGTTGGACAGGTAAATGTGTGGAGGCGAGGGGAACAGATGGGCTGAGGCCTCGGTGTAGTGTGCTTCAGAATTAGTGGCAGTTTTGGTGAAGATTAGTGCACCAGAATTAAAAAACAAACAAACATGCTGGTAATGGATTTAAAGATCTATGTTGTTTTCACTGATTATAGGAAACTGTACAGTATTTCACAAGTAAAGCTTTTATTATATCAACAAAAAGTCCTTTAAAAAAATCAACAAAACTTTCAGTTTTGTGCATTTGCAGCTTCAGATACATTCTTAGCCTCATTGATTATATTAATTTGAGGTTGAATGAACAAAAACTGGGCTTACTGCATTGCATGTTCTAAATTTCCTCTAACAATCTGGCTGTTTTCAATATTCCCCTTAATTCTGGACTACACTATATCTGGCCTTAGTACCTCCACTGTATAGCCATAAAGATACCGGCGCCCTCCCATATGTGAACATTGACCAATCGTTCTTCAAAGCCCCACTTTTAAAAATAAATAAATAAAAAAAATTTCCCACCGCTCTGGTGTTTGACACACCTAAAAACACGGTGGTCCCTTAATTCTGTCGTGTGTGATGTAAATGTATTTGGTTTGATGTTGCGGTGTCGATGCAAGGTTTTTCTTTGACACCCAGAGGTTTTGCAATAATGTATTTAAAAAAAACAAAAGAGAGAGAGAGAAAAGCTGAATGATTTATTTTGGAATGTAGATTTTTACTGGTTGTACCATGCATGTTTATGTACTGGCACCAACAAGATAGGAAAAAATATATATATTGTAGTGCTGCTTTGCCACACTAGGTGGCAGTAACAGGCAATGTTGTAAACCCTCACTGCAAGAGCGCATGGACACCAACAGCATAGAAAAGCTAGGCCCTCAAAACTGTAAATGAGTTTGGATCCATTTTCTTTTTTTCTTTTTTAAAGATATAAAACAGAGATGATAAAGTATATGTATTTATAAAAATGTATAAATGCTAATATATATTCTGTTTTAAATATGCTTAGGGAGGAAAGGAGATCCGACCTATGCCTACTTCAGAGTGTTTTTAATATATTTATTTAGATGTGTGATGTGCATATCATCAGTGGATATGACAAAGAATGTCTAAAGCATGAGAGGGGTAGAGTTTCTCCTGTTGCATCTCGAAATGCAGCCTTCGTTTTGCATTTCTAAATATTTCTTCACTGCCATAAGCATGACTGCATTTGACACTGCATTTGTGACAAAGGCTTTAATCGCTCGCAAACCTGCTGACCACTCAATGAAAGAAATCTATACTGTTTTTAATCCTGCTTCTTGATCAGTTTTTTCCAAAAATGTGGAAGTGGATATCATCCTGGAATTCAGTCAAAGCAGAAAGGTCTAGTTTAGCTTCAGTATGCCAACACTTGACACTAATCAGTAATGTTGTTGACACTTGGTGCTGTCATATTCCCTTTTTTATTACCTCATCATATAACAGCCGTATGATTAACCACAAATATAATGTCACTGAACCTGTTGTGGGTGATTTGGGAATCTCACCTGCATGTCTAAAGTAAATGGACCTGGGTTCAGTTCACGTGTCGTGCAGTGTTAACCTTTCCAAACTTCTGAGAAGTTGCCTTTTTTCCTTATTTTGAAGGATTTTTGTTGAACCTTTTCTGTTTATCTAAAACAACCTTGCGTTTTAATTTCTGTGTAAGTGCGGACGCTCGTAGAGTTGGAGTCGTGATGGCCTTATAGAGAAGCTGTGATGAAGTCGATACAAGGCAGGGACAGACTTTAAAGACAAAAGGTGCACAAAACCACACAAGACTTTAGCCTCCATTCTGTGGATCCAAATGTACATAGAAAGATTGCTTAAGATATCTTACATCTGTTTGTGCAATTTTAATGTGACTGTAGCTTCTTCTTTTTTTAAAGTTTGTGTTAAATGTGGTGATATTTATTTATGGTATGTTACTTATTTATGATGGACTTTAAAATGTTGGATTTTGCACTGTTGCCAAATGGAGCAATACTATACACTTTAAAAAATGAATAAACATGTTTTCAAAGGTGAAAATTGTTCTGGTGATTTCAAACACACACAGAAACAACTGGTTGCATCCAAAGTGACGTACAAAATGAAAAGTTGTAACTGAAGAGCAAAGGTTTACCCGTCCATGTATAAATGGTCCCTACAGTTGTCCATAAATTATTGGATAGTTCACCACCGTGCATTTTTAATTAAACATGTGACTGACGTGCAGACTCTCAGCTTTAATTCAAGGGGTTTAAAGCTTAAAGGCCTGGCAGACCATCTGCATGTGGTGATGTCCATGGGTCCTAGACTTCAGGCTTTCAGTGACCGCAAAGCATTATTAAACAGGAGTATTTAAAAACTATCCTTATATTTAAATAATAAATATTTAATTATGTTAAAATTATGTTAGTTTGTCAAAAAATGTCTGTAATTCCTAAACAGGTAATCATATTTGATACAGGAGTTTTTGAGTTCTACATCATCAAAAATAAAATAAGGCAGCAAATATGATTCATATTAAAACTTGTTTATACAGCTCGTGTACTGCACTTCATTTTAAAAGTCCACTGTGGTGGTGTGCAGAAGCAGAAATGCAAAAATTGTCTTTGTCCAGGAAATTACGAAACCTAATTGCATGCACATATTTATTCTTTAGCAACGGTGTACTCGATACCATCACATGTAAACAATGCAGCTCTCCATTTATCAAAGACAAACTACAACAAAAAAAGGCATGACGTTTATGGCGCTGGGAGCACTGTGACACTCGGAAAAGTAGGTGTATGTTGTTTCCTAATAAAAACTGACTGACACACACAGAGTAACAGTTGTGTTTCTAACAGTTTGTTGCTAGGATCACTCTACACAGTTCTCTGGTCCATTCCCAACATACTGCTCTTTCACAGTGATCTACGTGGACAGCTGAACACTCTCACTTTACCCGTCTTGACCTCAGTCACATGGCATTAACACCTGTGACTGCGTCTGCACACACACGGCCCCATAAACTCGTACTCTTCCAAAACACATTCAGAATAAGATGTAAAACGCCTACGGCTGTCTTATAACCACAGTAGGATGAGATGGAGATCTCTGTGCATGCTTGATGATATATAACATAACCTCGTGTATATTCACTATAATAACCTTTTTCTGAAAATAACAAAGTCTACCTATCAGAAATGACAAAAAGGTCTTGGACTAATTTAAGCACGTTAATAAATTTGAAAATGACTGCAGGTTTATTGTGGGTGATGCTGCAGGCTGCTTTTGTTACTGATGACTGTTAAATAGATACATTTGTAATTGTACATACTGGTACTGATATTAAAGGGACATTTCACCTCAATCAAACACCTGAACTTTAGAAAGGTGGATTTAAAAATATGTTGGGGGTTTTTTTGTTCCTGTCTTTGCAAAGAACAGTATCAAATCATACTGATTATATATTATGGGTTGGTCTTTTGTTTTTTAAAATAAAACCATTCTTATTCTTTGGACAGTACGCATTAGCCAGGTAGCCAAGAAAATCTGAATTGTGGGGTACTGCTTTCCAAACCAGGGTGCACTTCTGAGGAAGTACATATGAAGATGAGTATGGAAGGAGACATGAGAAGCATGACCTGGAAAGTTTGTTGTCAGTCTAAACTCAGTCATATCTGAACACACAATGCGTTTTTTATTCAGTGCAATGACTGATCTCTAATATATAAATTTCCACAAAGAAACCTAAAAACCATCAGAGATGGGCATTGCTCGTTTTAAGTCTACAACCTGCTTCATGTTTGTCTTTAATTTCAACATGATCTGCTGATGGTTGCCACCTTCTTTCTAATAGAGACAATTTACCAAGAAATAAACAAGCACAAGCTAAAAAATGTGGGCCCAGATTGTAACACACATGCTCACTGCGTGGCACCATCATGTATACGCAACACTACAAATACTGGTGGGTATTGTTGGGGGGGGGGTTGCAAACCTCAGCTATACTGTTAACATTATTCAGTAATGTTGAGCTTAACTTGTAGTTCAGAAGTCAACGGTAGATGGAAAGTTCTGTCAGCTCTGCTGCTATCAGGACGCTAACGACTTTACAGTCTGTCTGGTCAAATGTGCTCACTCTGGAAGAGCTGCTACAGCTGATCTGGGGGGCCGTCTGTCCTCCCAGCATTCCTACCACTGCAGCATCTCCTTTTCCCCTGGTGTCAGCCTCCGCACAGCCTTTAACAAGCCACAGAGATGCTGTCACCTTCTCTGAAAGGGCTGCAGTGTCAACTTGGATTACTGCACCTACTGTGAGGGGGCTGATACACTTTTTGACTCTTTCAGCCGCATCAAAGACTGACTTATAGCCCATGGCAATCCAAAGAAATGATGTGGAAGGTCTTAAATCCTTAAATCCAAGAACAAATTGTGTGCTCAGTTGGAGACATAAAGTTCGCTGTAAAAACTCTTCTTTTCTTTCAGCACTGAGAGTAAGGCCGTTTGAGTTAGCTAGCATTTAACTGCTACCTAAATAATCATTTAAGCTGGAGAACTAAACCATAGAACATCTCTATAAGGCTTTCTGTTATCTGGAAGTCACATATATGTATATAT